ACCCAGCTGCCCAAAGAAGTGGCTGTACAACAATGTAGGGCACACCAGGTTGGGGGTTGAAAAATCCCTGTGGGAAACAGACTTACAATAAAGTTGCATGAGAGGTTCTGCAACAAAGCATCCTGGTGTTAATTCCTGAGAAAGGAATTTCAGCCCCAGAGGTGAGGCCTGGATAGAGTTGGGCAGATTGAAAATTGGCTGCTTATCTAGAAGCCCACAATAAAGAGAGAGGCTGGGTAAGTGGCTGAGAGGTAACTCCCAATAACCAGGTGTCAGGCCCTCCCCAGCTGATGCTGCAATTGGCAAAGGAGAAAAGGGCCAGCAAAGCTCTGGGGCATTGACGTGAAGGGCACGGGTCTGCAGCCTCACATCCTCAGTGTCCATAGGAGAAAATTCTCAGGTGTGCTAGAGAGCAATGCCTGATATGTCTTCAAAAGAACCATTTGAATTCTAAACCATCACCTCCAGGCATCACTGAAAGATGAAACACTCCTGGGAATTACTGGCAAATGGATTTTCTGAACTACCATGCCAATATGGCCTCAGGTTATCTCCTGCTGTTGGTGGATCCCTTTTTGGCGGGTCCAGAAGTACTCCTGTCACACCAGCAAGGCCAGGAAAGTCACCCGGGCACTACCCTAAGAGATCCATACCCAGGCTCAATGTGCCTACAGGGATGTCATCTGATGGGGAACTCCAACTGGTATCTGAGGTGTGGCAGCAACTCAGTGAAAAGTGGGGAGTGGGACTGGGTGGCACTGGGGGGACATCAGTCTGTGAAATTGGGGTCTTGGAGGCTGAGCAATAAGAAAGAAAATAGAAAGATTGAGTTCTCCTGCAGGTGCTGCATAGGGCTTTAAAAAGAACGAGAAAAAACAATAAAAGGATGTAAAAATGTGTACACAAAAGGGCAACGGTTGCTGGAGCCGGTGGAGGAAGAGATAAAGGGCAATGCAGTGAGGGGTTTTTGGCAAGTTCTGTAACACAGAAAGAGCATTCACTGCAAAAGCGAAAGTTTGAGACTAGGTCATCTGGCATATTGGGGCACTTAGTGAAACCCACCTCCTATCACCCCATTTTTATGACCCTCCACAACAATAAAAATTATTTCCCAAAAGAGGCAGAGCCGTGCCAATTATTTGTGGGAAATGTGCTCGTTTCATATTAGCTAAGAAGTCCATTTTGATGAATATTTATAATTAGGATTAATAGATTCTCTTGACAAGGTCTCCCCCTGATGTGGACAAGGAGAGATCTGCTGTGAGTCCGAGCTGATAAAGAATTCAATCTTTCTCCTGCCTCCAGTTCCATGAGGGAGTTCACTCCTGCTGATTTCGATATTGGTGGCTGGGCCTACTCCATGGGATACTTGTGGAGGGACATGGGACTGGGATTGTAGACTGTGGTCATGGAGGGCTCCAGGCTGACATTGCAGGGTCAGGGGTTGGTCCCTGAATTTTTTTGGGGTCCTGGGGTGACATGAAATGTGTAACAGGATTGTGAGCTGAACTGGCATCTGGGAGAGGACCAAGGCGAATGGCTGGGGGCAGATGACGGTGTGGCTTAAGGAATGTGAGTGAGGTTCCTGAGCAACCTGGGGTCACCACAGGGCTACAAATATCTGGGAGTATAAACGAGATCCTCAGGAGCACGAAGGCGACACTGGAAGGAGAAACAGAGGATTGGGATTGGGGCTGGGTGGCTGGGGTGTGGGGATTGAGAGACAGGAACTCTGCAATGCCAGCAAAGCAAAGCCATTTATTACACCAGTTTACCAGGATTTATAGCTCACTATGTTCATATGAAATTTTCTACTTGGACCCCTTTGGCCCAGTTCCCTTAAAAAGAGAATCTTCTCGATTATCCTTCTTTCACTAGTAATGTCCTTGCTGTCTGTTTCACCAGCAACGTCCCTATCATCTCTTCTTTACTCAGAGCTGTCAGCGTCAGAGTGACCAGAGATGATGTCTTCACTTCTGTTCTTTACTGAATTTTTCTCTCTCATGGTTTTCACTGTACCGGGGCTGCAAGGTCTGCCGTGCTCCCTATTTGAGCTTCTGTAGTGGTCTGGGCTTCCACATCTCCCTCTTTTTTTGTTTTTTTTTATGTAATGCATACATGTTAAAGCAGTTCCCCTCTGTAAGGCTATTATCTAATTAAGACTATTACTGGTCATCAGCTAAATACAGGATGAAATATATAGAGTACAGATCACAATCCATAAAAATCTACTAAAGGCAATCATGGCACTGACAACGAGATTCACTGCATAGAACATAAGGATAATGTCCAAGGCCTCCTAGGAAATGAGAATAAATGGCCACTCTTCTAAAGTTCATCTGGTTGGAGATCGGGGGCCATGCTGAGCCCCTCACAGAGGAACCCTTCCCATGTACCCCCGTGTGTCCTCAGTGTCCCCTCAGTATGTGTCCCACTTTGTCCCCGAGTTTCCCACACTGCTCCCAGTAACCTCCCTGCCATGGCTCTCCTGGCTCGCCCCCTGGCACTGCTGGCAATGACAGTGACCACTGCAGCCATCAAGGCTGTCTCCCTGGACAGGACCCAGGACTCCTTCAATGACCAGCACCGGGGCTGAGGCCCTGCCATTATTGCGGCCTTGCCAGCCCTCAGCCCCTCTGAGTTCTAGGTGAATCCTCTCTTCGTCACCCAGACCTGGGCGAAGGCCGAGGCTCATTGGCAAAGCGGGGGTTCCCACTATCCCCTCTGGCATCTCCAGCCCTGACCGTCTCTCTCACGGCCTACACAACAAAGGACATTTACAAGGACTTCAATGCAGCCTGGTGTGCCGCTTCATGCTCCTGCCAGGAATACCAGAACAACTTCTGCTTCAAAACACTGCATTTCCTGCTAACTGATGCACTGGTGACACTGAGGCATGCTCAGAAAGGGCAGTGTCACCATGTGTTCTCAGGTGTGCATGATGTCCAATTCCAGGCACAGTGTGGCCAGAAGGTCCGGTTCAGTCAATTCACATTCTATTAACATATTGTGTCAAATCAAATCTATTACATGATTCTATCAAAACAACTCCATTTAATAATTCTACCAAAATGATTCCATGAAGTAATTCTGACAGAGCCAGTCCAAAGTGACAATTCCTTAGCAGGGCTCATTGTCACTCCCCATACCAACACTTGTGGGAATGTCTCTTTCTCCCACCTTTGAGGAGGACTGTTGGGGAGCATCCCCTTCCCAAGGGAGGAACCTCACACATATTTCATCCCAAGTATGAATAGGGGAGAGGAATTTCTGTCTGAGAGGGGACTGGGCATTGCCATAGTCAGGTAATGGATGGCCAGGCCCAGATCTGGTGCTTTCCCCTCCTTTGTCAGTTCAGGGTTGGTGACTTGGGCTGGTTTTAGCTCAATTTAGCACCAGTGTCCTGCCTTGCTGGTGGGGACCTGCTGGAGCATCTCTGGGGAATGACCTGGGGGTGCTGCTGGGTGACCAGTGGAGCTGGCCGTGTGGCCTGGTGCCAGCAGGGATTTGGAGAACACTCAGATGAGCAAGGCCAGGAAGTCAGGGAGTGATCGTGTCCCTCTCCCTGCCCAGTGAGGCACATCAGGAGTGCTGTGCCCAATTCTGTCCAGAGCCTTTTCCAGCTCTGCTCAGGACTGTGTCAACCTCTTCCCAGTGCCATGTCCAGTTCTACCTGGTGCCATGTCCAGCTCTGCCCAGCGCCATGTCCAGTTCTGCCCAGTGCCATGTCCAGTTCTGCCCAGTGCTCTTTCCTGTTTTGAGTTCCTGGAGATCCTGGCTGGTAGCATGGATGATGACAGGACTAGAAATTTTCGGTCACAAAGTGACAAATCACAAAGAGAATGGAAATTTTCCCTTCCCCTAGAGGTGCTGCGCAGAGCCTGAAGACAAACTGGCAGAAATGATAAAAGGAGGGAGAGATGAGCCCAGAGGATGAAAATCACAGCCAGAACCCATGGAGAAACAGATAAAGGGAACTCCAGTGGGGTTTAGGCAAGTTCTGTAAGAGGAAACAACAATACCCATGCAAAGAAATTGTTCCAGGAAAAGTCCCTTTGTTATCAAAGTATTCGGTAAAAATGAGCCCCAGAAGCCCCATTTTTATGACTCTCCAGGACAATAAAAGGACTTGTCAGAGGAGGTGGATCAATGTAAGTGATTTACAGGAAAATTACAGTTTCTGTATTAGGTAAGGCACCCATTTTCATGAATATTTATAAATATGGTAGATAAATACCCCATGGCAAAGGCCCTCCTGATGTGCAGGACCAGGAGAGATCCACTGTGAATCTGAGCTGAAAAGGAATTCCAGCTTTCTGCTATCTCCAGATCAATCAGCAAGTTCACTCCAACTGATGTTGGTATCGTGGTGGGGGGACTCCAGGGGGACTCTCTAGGGAGACACGGGACTGAGGGATTGGGATTGCGGACATGGGGGGACACTGCACGAGTCACAGGACTGGGATTGGGGTCATGGGGGGCTCTGGGAGAAAATGAGGGGAGACACGGGATGGTGAGAGTAGATTTGGGTCATGGGGAGTTTGGGAGACACAGTGGGGGCAGAGGGTGATGCCTGGATTTGGGTTGAGGTTCTGGGGTTACACCAATGGAATTGGGGAATGGGAGTGGGATTGGCACCTGGGAACAGGCTGAGGGGGACAATGGAGGGCTCAGGGAGTGACCCCAGGATTTGGGTCAGGATTCTGCGGGGCTGAGGGGACTTGTAGTTATGGGAGTAGGATTGTGCTTCTTGGGGCCGTGGTACTGTGGGATTGGGGTTCCTGGGGCTGGGGGATCTTGGGGAGGCATAAGTAAGCCCAGGATTTGGGATCAGGGAACTCAGACATGCCCAGAGGTTGTCTTTTTAGGAGCTCCTCCCTTCCCCCTGACCCCACTCGCCTTCCCAGTCCCTCACTGATGAACCCTCCCCGTGTCTCTCCCATGTCCCTTCTCTCTGTGTCATCCAGTGTCCACATTGGTCCCTGTGGCCTCTCTTTGCCATGGCCCCCCTGGCTCAGATCCTGGCACTGCTGGCAATGGCCATGGCCACCACTGCTGTCGATGTGTTCCCCCTGGACATGGCCCCGGACTCCTTCGATGACCAATACCGGGACTGTGGCCCTGCCATGAAGGCGGCATTGCCGGCCCTCAACAGCTCTGAGTTTGAGCAGAACAAGGAGTTTGCTGAGGTTTGGGTAAAGGCTGCAGCCAAGTGGCAGAATCAGGGCCCCCCTGTGTCCCCTCTGTCCCCAGAGCAGGCCACCGCCATCATGGCCTTCTCAATGACTGACTCCAGAAAATTCAATGATGCCCTGCGCGTGGTCGGGCATTCCCGCCAGGAATACCTAGACAATTTCCACTTCAAAACGTTGCATTTCCTGCTGACTGACGCCCTGTCCACTCTCAGGGATGCTCAGAAAGGGCAGTGTCGGGACGCGTTCCTGAAGGTGTGTGACACCCGGTTCGAGGCACAGCGTGGCGACACCATCCGTTTCGGTCTATTCATGCCGGTGTTCCTGAGCAAACAAATTGGCGAGTGCTCTGGTGAGACAATGCTCGAGCTGCGCACATGCCATGGCGTGGAAATCCAGTTTTTCAGCGAATATCCAGAACCTGCAATCGTGCTGATCCCACCATTTGAGACCTTCAAGGTCACCCAATACATCCAGCAAGGGGACAAGACACAGATCCAGCTCCAGTCCACCGGGACCTACAGCAAATACAACTGCGAGTGGCTGCGAGGTGACACTACAGGGGACAACCTGGGGGATGGGGACAGTCATGATAAGGCACAGGGGATAATAACCCTCAGTGGGGATGAGGGACAGAGACACCCAGAGTATGTGGGGGGGCAAGGATACCCTGGGCTGGGGACCCCAAGTCTGGGGACACCCATTGTGGGCATAGGGACAGGAACATCCATGACAGAGAAGAGGGATGGGGACCCCCCATTCTGGGAGGGAGCAGGGACAGGAACACCCATGCCAGGGGAGAACCGGAAAAGGGAGAGGGACAAAGACAGGGACAGAGACCCCTCCAGTGTTCCAACCCTGTCCCTCTCGGAAAAAGGCAGTGCTGTGGGGATGGGCCCTGTGTATGGACAACAGGTGGGCCAGGACCCCCCATGGCACTCCCTGAAAGCCTGTAACACCCTGTAACCCCCTGTGGCAATCCCTGAAGACCCCTGACCCCTTTCACCTCTAAGCCCACCATGACTCCCTTGACCTCACTGGCCCCTGTACTCCCATGTCTCCCTCCCAACACTCTGTCACCTTTCACAGTCATGCCTCCATCTCTCCTGTCACCCTTAACACCCCATTATGGCTATCCCTGACTCCCTTATTATCCACATGGCCACACTGATTCTCCTCTTTTTCCCCCAGGTTAGAGTGTCCGCAGGGCTCCTTTCCACCTTGGAGGACTCCTCCTGGCCACCCCAGCCTTGGCAGTGGCCACCAAGATCCTCTGAGCAATGAGGCCATCAAGGTCACCAAGGTCACTGTGGTCACTGTGGTGACTGTGGCCACCATGATCACCAACACTCCCTCAGCCACAAGGCTACCATAGCCACGTTGGCCAGTGTGGCCACCAAGGCCATTGTGCAAAGAAATTCTAATAAAAAATTCTACTAAAAAGTTCCATTAAATAATTCTGACAAAACCAGCAAAGTAAGACAATTCCTAAACAGGTTTCGATGTCATTCTCCACAACAACTATCACGGGAATGTGTCTTTCTCTCAGCCTCCAGGAGGATCCCTAGGGAGCATCCCCTTCCCAATGGAGGATCCTCACACACATTTCATTCCAAGCAGGAATAAGGGAGAGGAATCTCTGTCTGAGAGAGGACTGGATGTTTGTTCCCAGGGTCAGATGATGGACTGCCAGGCCCAGCTCTAGTCTTTTAGCAAGGTGATGGATGATGGATGGCCAGGCCCAGGGTCAGATGTTGGATGGCCAGTCTCAGCTCTGGTCTTTTAGCCTCAGTTGTCAATTTGAAGTTTGTGATTTTGGTTGGTTCTAGCCCCATTCAGCAACAAAACCAGCGCAAGACCCCTCTCAATGCAGCTCCAATGGCCATAAATGGGGCATAGTCCCTAGGGCACATTTCAGGCAGAGCATCCTGCCACATCCTGCACTTCAGGGGACCTTAAAGGCTGGAAATTGGGAGGTTCAAGAGGGCAAGGTCAGATCCTGCCCCTGGGGAGGAGCACTTCCCTGTGTCAGTTCCAGATGGATGGGATCTGCTGGAGCAGCTCTGGGGAGGACCTGGGGATACTGGCGGGTGACAAGTGAAGGTAGCCATGTGGCCTAGGGCCAGGAGGGATCCAGGGGGCATTGAGAAGAGCAGAGCCAGGAAGTCAGGGAATGATCATGCCCCTCTGCCCTACCCAGTGAGGCACACCAGGAGTGCTGTGTACAACTCTGCCCAGTGCCATGTCCAGTTAGAGACTGCTCTGGACCCAATCCTGTGCTCAGAGATGACGCTGTCTGAGCTGGGAGGTTGGGCCAGGTGCCCACTCTGGGTCCTTCCAGCCTGACCCATTCTGGGATTTGGGGATT